ACTGTAAACGGCGACTGTTTAGAAATTTTTTGAAATCAGGTATAAACGATAGATTTTGCAGTGTTTGAAGTATATACCTAACTAACACCTTAATAAAATTTAAGAAATTATGTAAAACAATGCTTGTTCGATTTCTATTTTAATTACAAATCAAATTCTGGGGTTAATGCATTTTTGGTTTTCTACGAAAATACGTCAAACAAGCTTTTCGGCGGATTGTTATCGCAATGCAACGGTATGACAAATTGAATTTGTGTGCTATAAATTATTGATTTAATTAAACAAAAGTCGCTTTTCCGTAATATTATATAGATAAAATAGTTTAACGACTGTAGATCTGGTCTTAATTATGTAAAATTAAATTCACTAGTTTTCGTGGTCCGCTTGACCAATTAATATATTTCAATTAATTAAGGTTTTTAGTTGAGATAAAAAAGTCAGTGTCACGAGCGGGATTCGAACCCACGACCTTCGGCTAGATACTCCGCTACTCTACCACTTGAGCTTTCGTGACTTCGATCCTTTCGGACACCAACTTCCCATCTCAACCCCACCTTTCGAATTTTCCCTCCTTTTTGCCATTTTTCGGGTTCAAATCCCGCTCGTGACACTGACGTTTTTATCTCAACTAAAAACCTTAATTAATTGAAAGATATTAATTGGCGAAGGGGACCACGAAAACTAATAAATTAAATAAGTTAAAATGAAGTATATTTTCACTAAAGCCATTTCATTTGTCGCCGAGAATCAAATCGATTACACGACATTCGATAAATGGCAAAAAGGAGGGAAAAATTCAAAAGGTGGTGTAGAGATGGGAAGTTAGTGTCCGAGTGGATCAAGGTCATGATAGCTTAAGTGGCAGAGCAGCGGCGTAGCGAGTCGAAGATCGTGGGTTCGAATCTCGCTCGTGACACTGTCTTTTTTATCTCAACTAGAAACCTTAATTAATTATGTAAAATGTATTTCTTTGAAGTTTTTTGTTCTTAGTGGAAAAGAAAATTGGAATAACTGATCGAAGACTACGATGCAAAAAATGTATTGAACGCGGATGAGATCGGCCTATTTCTTAAATGCATCCCTGATCGCCCCATGTGCTACAAAGGGAGAAATGCCATGGAGGCAGGTATTGCGATAACCATTTTGTTAGCTACTGGCATTGGTGGTTCGGAAAAGTTGAAATCATTATTGACCGGAAAATCTGTAAACCAAGATGTTCCAAAAACACATCGGGCTTGCCGAAAAGCGTGGATGACGAGCGACCTGTTTAGTGAGTGGGTGACATCATTAAATACGGAAATGCCAAAAAATAAAAGGCGAATCCTTCTTAAGTAATGCAAAAATCTCAGCCCAGTACTATCGCGATCCTCCAACCGTTAGATCAAGGTTTTTAATGCATTTTATCGAATAGAAGTAGCCATGCAACTCCTAAAGAACCCTAGAAGAAGGTATTGATAAAAAAACACATTGCTTATTGGAATGAATATTTGCGGAGAAGCATGGCAAATCTTGTGGTTTGCTACAGGAGAATATCTCCGCCATTGAACAGGAAAATGAAATACATGCCTCCAGCGGATGGCATCTTTTGGCACAAAATAAGAAAATCCCGTCACTTTTTAAGACTTCGTTACTTTTGACGATGACATTGCAGTTACTGGAATACTTAAGAAAAAATTTTCTTTATGCCAACATTTCGATCTTTATTGAGATCATCTTCAGGGCTCAAAGTGTTTGTCTTCTCTGTAATTGTGCCATTCTTGCGTGTCGTGTTGAGAGTACCCCACTTTGAGCCCTGAAGATGATCTCAATAAAGATCGAAACGTTGGCACGATAAAGAAAATGTTTTTCTCAAACCTACATCACACCAGACCGCATCTCACGATTTCTCAATAATTATAAATTTAATCGGAAGAAAAATCTGACACTTTTCTGAAATAACCGAGTTCAAAGATACAAGTTCAAATCGTCTTCGAATTACTCCTAAATACTTTTCAATACATCGACAATTATCTCACATTTTGTAAATTGAAAGTTGGGCACCCAATCATAATGAGCTCTAATCATTTACTTTAAGAATGGAAAATTTAAAAATCTATGTAAAACCTGAATTCCTATCAGAAAGACATTAAAATGAAATAAATTTTGAAAATATGTTAAAAGTTCATTGTACAATTGTAGGAGATATTAATATAATATATTTTCTTCAATTACCCCTATTTTCTGATGAAAACTTTGAATTATTTACTAAATATGTCAACAAACTTGGCACCATAATCCCCGAAACAAATTATGCATTGAAATCGAAAAGATATATGTAGTAAATTCCTAACTCCTAATGTAAGCAAGGACTCCAAAATCCTTAATATCGACCAATCAAGATTCCTGGGTAGAAGAACTGCTGTTGAGCGGAAACACCTCTACATGTAAGTTCAAAGAACTCAAAGTTGAAATCACCTCTGTATGTTGAAAATAAAGTTTTCTAAAAAGGAATCAAGAAATAAGTTAGTTTAATTTGTACGTACATACACATACAAGCACATAACACACCGTACGATAACTTTAGATCTTGGTGGAATTTATGCTGTTTTTGCTTATCAAAAACCAGTTTTTGTAGGTTTATACTAAATCCTCCCCTCCTCGCATTATTGCGATTCGTATAATTAAAGCTTTACTAAATTAGGCGCACCATTTACTATGTATGCTTCGGGGCTTCAAGTTTAATGAAAAAAAGTATCTTGGCAGTACACATTCAGATTCAATTAAATTTTCATTGACTTTACTTTAACTTCTTAACAAACGAAACAAGACTCATAATTTATGTTGTGAGTTAATACTATTATTATTTCAATTAATTAATCTTTTTTATGTAAAGTATTGGTTGAAATGAAAAAGCTAGTGTCACGAGCGGGATTATTATTCATGCACATCAAGGATTAGGACTCACAAATCATCCACAACGGCTAATAAAATTTAAGCATGGGTAGTCTCTGTCAAGGGGTTTTGCAATTGAAAGTCGGCCCCTCTTGAATAACGACTTCAAGAAGATGGCTGAGCCCGATTTTTCTGCCGTCCTTCCTTTACCTGAGAACCTTGGCAGGTGTCATGGGGATTTAACTGTTTTCTTAAATCGTTACTGGAATATCCGATTTGGAATCCAGAACAGGCTTTGCTCATTCTAACGTGTCCTGCGGCTAATGCATTGTGTGTTTTCTGCGTTCTAAAAACAAAAGCCGGGTTTTGTTATTTAACGTATGTATTTAACCAAGTTGAATTTATTTTCGAAAAGTATTGTTAAAGCATAGTAAGAAGTCTGACCACTGGGTGAGTGCTCCTCGTGTTCATCAAGTTTAATTGTTTTGTCTTCACGGCTTTTTACTATTGTAATTGCTCGACAGATGAAAAAATCAATTTAAACAAACACATATAAATTCAATAGTGATAATTATTAATAACTTGATAATTATTTGGAGGTCGTGAGATGCGGTGGTGTGACGTAGGTTTTAGAAAAACATTTTTTTTATCGTGCCAACGTTTCGATCTTTATTGAGATCATCTTCAGGGCTCAAAGTGTTTGTTTTCCGTGTAGATGTGTCATTCGTCTGTCGTGTTGAGAGTGCACACAGGGGCAATACTTACATTTAGTTACTTTGAAAAAACAAAATATTTAGCCTATAAAAAGAGGGTTGAGATGGGAAGTTGGTGTCCGAGTGGATCGAGGTCACGATAGCTCAAGTGGTAGAGCAGCGAGCGGCGTATCTAGCCGAAGATCGTGGGTTCGAATCCCGCTCGAGCCATTGAATTTTTTATCTCAACTAAAAACCTTAATTAATCGTAATATAGCTTGAATATTGACCTTTGTGCCTGGCAGGCAAAAAAATAAATACAGTAAATAAATAAATTAAATAAATAAATATTGAGCTTTAATAGACCTTGGAAAATTAATCAAATATTTAAAAATGATTGTAATGTAATAATTACTTTATTGTCGAAATGAGTAATTCAAGAAGAATGAAATTGGCGATTTTACAGCATTATTATCGGGTGAAATAATGAATCTCGGCTCTAAAAGAGACATGAATTGTTGTAAAAGCGTTATCTATTATTATGAAACAAAGGGTGCTATTTTTAACGTTATGATTAGAAGGATTTCTATGATGTTTGAGCTAAGGAGATTCCAAAAACTATTAGAATTGTTTAATACCTATGTGTAAAGTGCATTTGTACATTCGATGTGGTTATTTTCAATAGTTGAAACATTAGTTTTAATTGGAAATGGAGAATGAGCCATCAACGTTGGACCAGTGCTTATGCTCAGGGGCGTTTAACTTGATCGTTTTATTGTTTTAGCAAGTTATTTTTGTTCCTTGTTAAGGTTGGTGCTTTGAGTCAGTTGTTTCTATTACGATGAATCTCCTGTTACATTTCCTCTTATGCAATTCTAAGCTATTTTCCCCCGAGAAGGAATCTAATTGCTAATCAACCATCTACAAAATAACTAACATTTTATTCTGCCGATTAAGCTCTTATCTGCCGCCGACCTGTTTACATGCCAACAATAAGAAACGTACATTTTCTAGTGAAAATCGTATAACACGACGGGGAAATTTGTAGACGACAGACTGCATATCACGACGTCTGTAGAAAGCCATTTCGGAACATCTTCCTTTGACTTAAAACTCTTAAAACCCATCGGACACTTTCACTTCCTCAATCGTGTGTGGCCGTGAGCCTTTAAGGACTGTACCAATTCTCACGAAATTTGTACTATAAATGCTTAACACTGATTGTCACTGTATTCATAAAAATATATAAAACACACTGAATATCGCTTAAATAAATACAACCAAAACAACTAATGTTTTTCTATAAGTTATGATTATTTGAAGATCGTGATCACGATCATTAATTAACGTCACTAAACACCACACAGTTTACTATTTGTATGATGTAAGATTGTTTACAAATTTATTTATTATTTTTCTGTTTGCTTTTTGTTTCAGAACTTAAACAACCGCAAATCTGGGCTGTGTAACTTAAAACTCCGGACGTAAGTTATTTTTTACCATACAGATTATCTTCGGCTTTGCTGATGGGGTTTTCTTTTGGAGAGCATTAGTTTATCCGAGATTTGTAGAAAGTCACAGGGTCATTCGTCCTTTCGACCTACGGCTACGATAAGAGAATGACCCCTTTTTCCCCGGATGAGATCCCCTCATCACTATCTTTTGAATTCGGCATAATATTTTAATATTTTAGAAATAAGATGAAACATATATCTAAAGAGTGGGTGAGAGACACTGAATGAGAAAGGAGAGAGCGAGAGAAAGGAGAGAAAGGAGAGAGAGAGAAAGGAGAGAGAGGGAGAGAGAGAGAAAGGAGAGAGAGAGAGAGAGAGAGAGAGAGAGAGAGAGAGAGAGAGAGAGAGAGGGAGAGAAAGGGGAGAGAGAGAGGAGAGAGAGAGGAGAGAGAGATAGAGAAAGGAGAGAGTGACAGTGAGTGAGTGAAAGAGTATTTGATGGAGGGTTAAAGACACTTAGGTAGAGATAGAAGAAATAGATGGATAGTAAGATAGAAAAAAAGAAAGATTGATTGAAAGAGATGTAGGTAGAGTGAGTGAGAGCTATTATAATTAATTTTTTTAATTTTGTTATTATTATTTTTTCTGTATTACTTTTGTTAGGACAATTGATTAGTTTAAAAGGTAACCCTTTAAAGTAGTGAACGTAATGCTTAGTTGCAAAATAAAAAGTCTGCTAATTTAAAACAAAAGGGTAAGTGAGAGCTACAAATCGGATCATTCTATTAAAAATATTTAATGAAACAGCAACTTCTAACAAACAAAATGTTCAAGCTGTAGTCCCAAAAGTAGGAAAAAAAGAAAAAGAAAAAATTAAACATCCATATGATACATCTGAGATAATCAGACCAGTTTGCTGATATCTTTCATAATATAACTAACTATTTTCAAGATGTGTAGTTTATTCAAAATATTTTGCTTCTGTTTTTCAGTAAGCTTAAAACTCCTGCCTAATCTATACAAATAAATTGAATTCAACATTTATATTGAACACTCAACATTAGACATTTTTCAATTAATTAAGGTTTTTAGTAGTTTAATTTAATTAGCCAAGCGGACCACGAAATTAGTGAATTTAATGAATTAAATGAAGTACACTTCACTAAAGCTCTCCGAGGCCTTTTCATTTGTCGTCGAGAATCCAATCCGATTACACGACATTTGAAAAATGGCGAAAAGGAGGGAAAACTCATAAGGTGGGGTTGAGATAGGAATTTGATGTCCGAGTGGATCGAGGTCACGATAGCTCAAGTGGTAGAGCAGCGGCGTATCTAGCCGAAGATCGTGGGTTCGAATCCCGCTCGTGCCATTGACTTTTTTCATCTCAACTAAACACCTTAATTAACTGTAATGTATTAATTGGTCAAGCGGACCACGAAATTAGTGAATTAGACATATTAAAAATAAAAGGAAAAAATTAAAAATAGGAATGAAATATGAAAAAGTTCCATAAACCATTCAATTCAAACTTGATTTGATGGGTTTTTAAAATGATTGTAACACTTAATATTTTACAAGTTAATTAATAATTTTGATGACCATGTCAGTGCTTTTCCTATGTTCCTCTAATGCATTTTGGCAAATCAAAAAGTTCCGTTAATAATAATCTTATTTCTGACTGATCAAGAATACACAGGCCACTCAACCAAAGTTTTAACTTTGTTCACAGTGATGTGGGGGACGGTTTTGATTGTGGCTTCGCTTGCGGTTCTCACAAAAGCTGACTACTATACAGCTCTAGCAGATCTTGAAGACTTGCTAGAAACTGAAGCTGTACTAATAAACACACTTGATTCCTACATTGAACAGCAGGAAGTTCGTTTACAACAGCTTAAAAAGTAAATATGATTTTTAACTTGTAAAAAAAAATTATAACATTTCTATTTTTAATTCAGCAAAGTGAAAGATTATAAAAAAGAACATAGTGTAGCCAGCGGGGATGTAACAAATTACTTATCAAATCCTATCAACGCCTACCTTCTTGTTAAACGACTAATAACAGATTGGAAGTATACCGAAACTTTGATGAACGATGCTGTGGCAGAAGGTATTTGTAATAAATCTACTTTAAAATGTTCTGATGATTAATTTACCTCTTTTTTTAGATGCAATTAAAAATATCACTAACATTAAAAAATACATGAAGTTTCCTACTGACGAAGATCTAACTGGTGCAGCTACAGCCTTAATTCGCCTGCAAGATACCTATGCCATGGATACGTCTTCAGTTGCAAGAGGAGAGTTGAATGGAGTGCAGTACACGACTCAACTAAGCTGTAAATCATTACTACAATTTTCATTGTTTAGATTCATTTCTTTAAATTTATTCTATTTCAGCAAGCGACTGCTTCGAACTAGGACGGCAGTCATACAATAAACAAGATTTTTATCACACAATGCTCTGGATGAGAGAAGCCTTAACAAGACACGAGAGGGAGTTAAATAGAACAGAAACAACTAGATCCGATATTTTAGAATACTTAGCATATTCAACGTACATGCAAGGTAAACATTTCATGGTGAAACATTGTCAATTTGATCATGTCTGATCATAATTATTTGTTCCTTTTGTTTGGCATTGTGTCATATCCAGCAAATGGGTTCTTTTATTAATTGTAACTTTTTTGTACATTTGTAAAATTTAAAGTAGTGCTAACATACCTTTCACCTCAAAACTATCAAGAATAGGCTAAAAAGAATGATCGTTCAAGCTTTGGGTATTTTTTTGCAGATATGGACAGTGCTTGAAGAATTTATGAAATTAAACAATTCATGTTTTCCTTATTGATTTGATAATAAATATAATAATAAAATATAAATAATTATTAAATAACATTGAATTATAGGCAACCTTCAAAGTGCTCTTGAAATGACAAATGAACTTTTAGAGATTATTCCTGACCATCCAAGAGCTTTAGGGAATAAAGCTTATTACAAAAATGCCATTGATAAAGGAGAACTTGAAAAGGAAGTGCAGGATGATGAGGTAAATTTGTCATTAAATAAAATCTGTGTCATTGCTTAATTACTTGCTTCATACTTTACTTGATTTTCATTTCTGTAGTTTTCCTAGCTTGCCATCCTGTCCGTAATACCACCTATTTTGATGTTTGTATTTTGCGTGTTTGGTCATGTCTATTCGGTTTTTAAACTGAACTTATGAATCGTTTAATCTATTTTTAATAGAAGTTCAAGAATCATATTAAACTTTCTCATACTGTTAAGAGATTGATGATGTTGGTGCAGGGCGAGCTGACTGGTGATGAATACTTGGATGACAAAATTCTTTATGAAAAGGCTTGCAGAGGAGAAGTCTCACCGCCAGAAAACGTCCTTTCACAATTAAAATGCTTATATTTAAAAAACAACCCATTTTTAAAGTAAGTTTGGATTTTTACTATTAAATATGTTGTTTAATTTAATTGACTTTAATTGAAAATTCAGGTTAGCACCATTGAAAGTAGAAGAAGCCTATTTGAAACCAAGAATTCTCCTATTTAAGGATTCACTTTATGACTCAGAAATTGAAGTGATCAAGCGAATGGCTCAACCAAAAGTATTAGATAATAATTTGAAGAAAATAAAATATTAACTAACAGAAATGTTGTGTATTTCAGTTGAGAAGAGCAACAGTTCAAAATTCAAAAACCGGTGAATTAGAAACTGCATCATACAGAATTTCTAAGTCCGCCTGGCTTAAAGACAATGATGATGAGGTCATTGCCCGTGTATCAAAGAGAGTTGAGGATATGACAGGTTTGACAACTGCAACCGCAGAAGAGTTGCAGGTCGTGAATTATGGAATTGGTGGCCACTATGAGCCTCATTTTGACTTTGCAAGGGTAATTATTTTACTTCACTTTAAACATATTGATATTTTTCTAATTTGTATTTTATTGCAGAAAGATGAAGAACCAAATGCATTTAAATCCTTAGGAACTGGAAATAGGATTGCAACAGTTTTGTTTTATGTGAGTATTGTTAAATAATTGTACTGCTATTTGTTTTATACTATTATGATTTGAAAATTGTGAAAAAAAAGAATTAATAATAATGTGAGGTAGTTAGTGACCGTTAATCGATAATTATTCAGAAATCATGAGATGCGGTCTGGTGTGATGTAGGTTTCAGAAAAACATTTTCTTTATCGTGCTAACGTTTCGATCTTTATTGAGATCATCTTCAGGGCTCAAAGTGTTCGTCTTCTGTGTAATTGTGCCATTCTTCCGTGTCGTCATAAATATGGCACTCTCAACACGACACGCTAGCAATTGTTGTTCTAACGACTATACACAAAAGCTAGTACTTGGCGAGGAGGTCATCTGACGGGTTTATCGGCCTGGATTATGGTGGACATGGATTGGGCTAATGGGTGGGGTGAGTGGAGAGTAGTAAGGGTTGATGACATAAGAACCACTGTGTGAGGGGGGAATAGCCATTAAAATGGAAGCTGCCCTAGATAAGGCCACGGTTACTCAAATTTTACAACAGACCGGTGGGAGGGTGCGATCTCTGGAGTGGAACTCAAGACTCTTGGTACTGCACGTTCCAAAACAAATGACGCCTACAAAATTAGTTGACAACCTAGTTGACTGCAATGATGTTCATTTATTCCTGGCGCAAGGATGATGTCAGACCACTCTTCACCCGGTGATACGGCAGGAGGGTCTGGAGTACAGACACATCACAACCGCCAGCCTCAAAAATAAAACATATATGCACAAACTGCATGAGATGTTATATGGAAGGGCAAAGGGAATGTTAAGAAGTGCGCCAATTTCACGCACCTAGGGCTGCCAAATAACAATGCTGTTCAACTCCCAACTGTGCTACGTGCATGAGATAGCAGTTGTGAGACTCAAGCGTTTCATCGATTACACTCAGCTAGGTCAAGCAATGTATGCACAGAACAATGCCAGAAGCAATAACCGGCATCATGCAGGTGGGCGGAGAAGATGGGTGCAGAACCCCAAGAAGCCCTCCGGCCGTACCAAGCAACGAGCAAGAATAAAGGAGTATCGCGAACCCTAAAGGATGCACAAGGAAAAGCAGGTGAATTAAAAATGGCACTACTAAACTTCCTCAGCCCAGAGATGGTTAGTGATGGGGCCAGAATCCTCACCTGCAAGCAGGGAGTCAACATTGCACATACCAGGGGCCCTGGATGAAAAGAATATATACAGCTATGAGCCTCACCACCCAAGTGGTTTGATTGCGAACAGCCGAACACCCATGTATTGTGATATCTGTCCTGAACCGAAATGCCAGAATCATGGAGTTGTTGGAAAGCAATGGAGACCTAGTACTTGGCTTCCTTGAATTGGAGAATAAAGAACTAGTCATCGCTTCTGTGTATTGCAATAGGCTACGAAGCATTGAAGAAGTCATCATATCCATTAGGAACATTTTACATAAGTACAGGAGGAGAAGCTACATTTTTGGTGGGGATTTCAATGCCCATAACTTGGTATTGGGTGACGTCCACATGGATCGGCAAGAAGAGGCACTAATAATGGCCTTGATAAAGATAAAGGACAAGACTGCTGGGCTCAGAGGATTCACCAAGCATGTTTAGTCTAGCACAAAGGGAAAGTGTTGTCAACATAATGATAATCCATTCTTACTGTGCCACTATGTGATGACATTCACCATCTCAATGAATGCCATTATGAGTTGAGAATGAGTGCATGGTTGAGGAAGGAGCTCCCGGCAACCCCCATAGTGATCATGAAACAACGCATGTGCCTAAAAGGAATTGCCAGCGAGAAGCTGGTGCATGCAGTGAAAGGTGAAATTGCACACGTGGAAGATGCAATCCTGTGGCCTGTCACAAGTGATGCCATTAACAATAAAGTGGCAATGCTCATCACACTCTTGGTTGTGGGCCCCAAGAAGTTTTAAGAAGTGCAAAACAACTGCCCAACGCTCAAGAAGTAAATCCCAGCGCACCCAAGACCCAACCTGAAAGGAAGAGCTAATAGCTGAATACTACTGCAGACCAGAATGGGAACTGTGATATGCCAAACAAAAATCATGAATATAATGGCGATGTTTCTCTTCGGCAGTGAGACACTCAGCATTGGAGGCACAGGGCAGACACTACTGCGTGTCGCATTCCCGAAGATGACTTCGCACCAGACAAACCTGAACACATTGCTCTGCGGGACAGAGCTGGTGATATCACCAGAGATGGGACATCCCTCCATGGTCGGAGGAGGAAGTGCTCTTGGCGATCAAAAGACTTCGGACAGGGTGAGCACCGGTTGAAGACTGCATGGAAGCCGAAGCCATTAAGGTGAGCACAGTTGCAGTGGTAGAGAGTGCAGCTGATGACAGACTGCTTCGACGTCAGAATTTGCAACAAGATCGTCCACCACATATGTCACAGCCTTATTTTTTGGCATAAAAAAAGCCTTTGTCCGTAGGTGGTGGCCTGCGTACCTGACAGTCTAGTCAACTATGGGGCCTCAGAAAACATATTCAAGCTTTTGGCCAGTTATCTGTGTGGATGAACAGTCAACTTAATGGAGTATGAAGTGTATTGCTGTAGAGATGTAAAGATGGAAATCCACCAAGGATCAGGATCGTATCTTTTGGCAGCACTGGTTGATGATGGTTGACTAAGTTGATGATAGATTAGTTGACTAAGCAATGCTGAGCTCGAAACTCTGACGTATGTAGATGATGTGGCAGAAATTATCCCAGTCAGAACAAAAGTAGAGATAGAAGGAAAAGGAAATAAGCTGTTGAAGTACTGGGTGCAACAGTGTAAAGTTCAACCTAGCCCTTGAAAAGACTGAGCTGATGTTCCTAAAGGGTACACTGAGTTTGCAATTGCCACCCATTATCTATTTGGATGAAAAAACAATTAGGACTCTTCCTGCTGTCAGATACCTTGGAGTCTTGATGAGCCCAAGGTTACCCTTCATTATGAATGTGCAAAAGGCGATGGGGGTTCTGAGAGAGCCGCGTGGGACATCTCATATAAGATTAGGTTGATCTTCTACTCAGTGCTCTGTGAGGCAATCCTGCTGTATGCTGCCCCAGTTTGGACGTGCTTTCTGTGCACTATGGATTGAGGAGTACTTGAATGGGCCCAGAGCGCATCATTGCTGGCGGTAGGTTGTGAGCTGGTTAGGTGGTCCTGAAGGTTATAGCAGGCTGTCCATCCATGGAACTATATGAAAGATACATATGCGCTAAGTGGGAGTTGGCTCATGGGGCATGAACTCTGCATGCTTGTTGCCTCTGACAAAGATGTCAAGAAATGTATGACGGACAGTGTGCTGCCCCACTGACTTCAGACTCGTCTCCCCGACGAAATCTCACTTCACACCTTGAGACTCGTCTACCCGACGAGCTCTCGCCTGTCACTAATGGAGCAACGACAACAACAGCAAAGGTACTCGCAGCAATAACCTGTAACTCGCCTTTTCAACACAGCCGACTTGGCTATGCAGGGTAACTACCTGCTGCACCAGAGTCCCTTCACCCGACTCACGGCCCCCGGACACCGGCCAACAGTTCTCTCGGTCATGGAACACTACCAACGGTACTCAGATGCACACACATGGTCCCGGTCTCGATTCATCGTCTCTTCGCTATGACACAACATCGGCCCTTCTCAGGACCACCAAAAAACTCTCAGTGACTAAATCTTGTTTTGTTCTTTCTTTTGCGTGTATTGAAAGTGAAAGTGTAGTGCGTACCCATTGATTTTGAATTACGTTAGTTTTATAATATGTGTCCAGCGTGATGGAGGAATATCACGTACTCCACTTTACTCGAAAGTTCGTAAATAGGAAAGAATGTGTTAAGAATGAATGATTGTGTTAGTGTGTCTAAGTTTTAAAAAGTGAGTTGGGGCTTAAATGACCTAACTGTTGACAGCCCCTGGAGCCTAAGCTCAACACCAGAATGGATCAGACCGTGGTTTGACTTTCGACTGCCATTATACCAAAGGGGGTGATGACAAGCCAAGTGATAGATCATAAACTCAAAATTACAGTTGCAATAATTGATTAAGTGTAACTGTGTTCTTTAATTTATTTAATTTTTTAATGATTCATTATTATTAACTAAATATATGTTATGTTGATTTTTTCTCTTCAACATTGATCTTTTATCTATGCGTTAATACTATGCTTTTTAAGATGAGCTCGGTTGCCCAAGGAGGTGCAACTGTATTTCCTAGACTGAGAGTATCTCTCTGGCCAGAAAAAGGTACCGCTGCTGTTTGGTTTAACTTACTTCGCAACGGCGAAGGAGATTATGATACTAAGCATGGAGCTTGCCCTGTCCTTGCAGGTTCGAAATGGGGTAAATATTGAAACATTTTCTCCTTACAAATTTAATAATTATACTGTTTTAATTGATAATAATTGGTTTTAGTATCGAATAAATGGCTGCATGTTAGGGGTCAAGAGTTCCTGAGGCCTTGTTCACTTGAACCTCATGTCTGAAATACAAAATCAGTCACAAAGGGCCAGACTGAGATTTTATAAACCTTACCGAATCGTGCCAATTATAAGATTACTATTAGTTCATCTTTACCAAACCATTAATTTTTAATTTAAATAAGGGAAATCATTATAACCGTATATTTTTAGGCGTGGTTTATTTCTGTTTTTATTTTTGAAAATAATGAATTATTCGTTTTTTACAATTGTGTTCCTTTCTAAATGTAAATTTTCATTTTGTGTAGGTAACGTTTATTTTATTATTAAATTATTGAGACACGTTGTAAATATTTTACAAATGAATTACTTATCACATGTTTAGACTTAAATTATAAATAATTGAAAAGTTGAGTTTTACACAATACATATTACTATGTAATGCAGTTGTTGTAAAAGTCACTATTTAATAAAATATTTAATACATTGCCTTTTAATTAATGTGTGCCTAATAGACACTTTTAAAAAGACTAACTTCCAAACAGGAAAAACAAGAGCCAAATGTTACTGGATTAACTACTAACGGGATTTGAATGTTATTATTTGTAAAGATGAGGTCGTATTAAGGGGCAAGATAGCCATTGAGCTATTAGAAAATAATGTTAGATTGTTTTTACATAGGAGTTATACATATTAATCAATATTTCTGTATTTTTCGTTGAATGCTGGTTCTAAAATATGTAACCTTTTTCCATTATACTCTTGCTAATTAATACATTTTAATATAAAAGGAGTAATCGTACTGTATAACTGAAAGTTATGCTGTGGTAAGTGTTAAGCCATTATTTCTTGATCATTGGTTGAGAGAATGAAGATCACGGTTGAGCAGAGAGATAGCTTCAGAGATGTTGCTTGTAGGATATTGAATGCAAGGCTGAGTGTCATCAGTATAAAGATGAAATTGGGAAAAATTAAGAACTAAAGGAAGATCATTTAAAAACATGGAAAAGAGTCAAGGTCCTAGAATAGAGCCTTGGGGTACACCGTCTAAATTTAGAGAGAAACGATTAACTGCCCTTGTTGATTATGAATTTTTGCCTCACTATCGGCGACAAAAACAAATATTTTCCTTCTAATTACAATTATTAAATCATTTTTAAAGTAGTAAAACCAAAAATAAGGCCAAAACATTATTAAATTTTAAAAAATCAAGATCTTTTTTTGAAAGCGGTAATTTTTAAGTACTCACCTTTATATAAAACTAGATTATGTCTTTAGCACTGACGTTTTAAAATCCAATTTTGGTTTATTAAAGGTTATGCCAAGATAATTTCAGATATCGCCCGTCGGATAGAAGCGTCGAATCAGAAATGTGGCCCTAAGGGCGTACTTTGATGAAATCCTGTCAAGACTCCGAAATTGTCCTGACAAACCTCGTTTGAAGTAAGGAGCCTGTGATAGGGGCGAACATGTGATCGGGTTAACGGGCAGCCTTTTGGGCAAATGGATCAGGATTTCGAACTGTTTTCCTAGCAATTTTTTCAACTTCGGCGATTGAAGTTATCACAGTTGCCGTGACATAGGGTCTTCTGCATTAAGCGAATTATGTATTCACTATATAAATAAAAACTAACAATAAAAGGTCGGTAGCGGCCCTCACATGCGCCAAAACTGCCAATGTTAGAAATAAAACAGAATTAAAACGGTCGAGTCCGTAATTCCTCTTACTGCCTTTACCTCTAAACAATAATTACAATTTGCTAATCCAGTTTAATAATTAATTATTGGTTCAAAAATCCAAATTGGTGACCCCAACAATCGTCTACGAAAGTTTGTGGCCTGGCTCCCGCCTTTTGTTCAAAATGGTCGCAACACCACCTGCAGTGGATGCTGTCGCAACTTGCAGCGACAATAATTCTGCACTAAATAATTCTAACAAGAACCAAAATTTTATTTACCAAAAAGAGATCAGTACAACAGGTCCGGTTCGAGAAGGTTGAAACCCAATTCCAACTGGCCAAAATGACAAACTGAACGACTAACCTAAATTAACTGATATGATCTATCGAATCAGAATAATTAACAGCAACACAACCCAACAAAAGAAAATTTTACCGGAGAAGCTGATGGAAGTTTACCTTTTTTTAATTGTTGTATTCAGTACATGCCTTTATGGTAGTTGACAATAAAAACTGTCACATTTGTTTTTCATTTGTCCAAAACTTAAGGGAACCCTAAAACAGAACTGCATTTTTGATTTGTGACACTTTTTTTGCGTACAATGGCTCTCAGTAAGTTACGTTAGTTTGTTTGACGATAATGGTGGTCAATGAATGACTGTAACTTCGGTAATTTGTAACGGTAATTCGTTTCTTTGTGATAGTAACACAACACATTCCAACCTAACAAACAAGAATTAATATCCGTTACGAAAAACATATTTGTTACAATTGACCTAGCAATGGATTTTCATAATGTGAGCTGAATATAGGCCCTGATGATAACATTTAATAGGTCGAAAGCTTGGAAATGACAACTGAATTTGTTTTTTTCTTCAAGACCGTGATGATTGAAGAACAGGCCGATACTAATAACATTGAAAACTGCAATAATTCTAAAATTAGTACGCAGTAAAAGCACCAGGAATGTTGTTAGATTAAATTAAGGACATGCAATCTTCTTTTTGCACATTAGATATATTTGTGGCAATTCATTAATTACAATATTTCGATTTTCCGTAACGTTTTTGAGCCATAAGTTTGAAGTTGAACATTCATGCTTTCCAGATTTGTTAGAGAATCAACCAAACCATTATAGGTCTTACTTTTCCTCTCATCGCCCATTATCAAAATGCAACGAAAAGATCCATAACACTTTGTCATCAAGTTTTTGCCAAAGAGGTAGAATTTGAAAAACTGACAGACTTCATTACCATTATTGACGATAGTTAACGTTTTGTTGGTTGTCAATGAATTTCGAATCATAGTCCACCTGTTGTAAAAGTCGAATACTGAATGAAACGAATAGGTACTATTGTACTATTGTAAACATTTATTTACCTCCAGGAATTTAGATTTGCTCTCAATGCGAGTTTGACAAACAATGACAGAATGTAAAAAATAAATGCAATTAATGTTTACTTTAGTGAAGAACCAAATTATTGGAATTAACAATGAAACAAACGACCTCTGCTTCTACCGTTCGGGTAAGGATCTGGCCGGAGGTCGACTTTAGGATACAGTAGGCGATAAACGTAGTGGCTGCGAGAGCCGAGGAAACCGGGTTTACTTTCTCCACATCGAAAACGGAGGGTGTCCACTTTTGCACACTGAGGAGCCCATTGCCTCCTCTACTCTGCCTGAGGGGCACCACACTTGTGCTATACGTGGAGAAGATGTGGTTACTCGGCCTACTTGTTGATGAGAAGTTGAAATGACAGGCACACATCGACGCCGTCGAGGTCCAGAGCACGAAAACCATCTCACTGTTAAGCTTTTTTGGTCACTTTAGGTGGGGAGCGGCTAGGGAGTTCTTGTTAAAAATTCTTCGTCTAAAAAAAAAGACTCCCGGCTTTGTTCGAGGAACTTTTATGGAAAAACGTAACTGAGAAAGCTCGGTAGGCTCTATTATCATGGTTTCAGAGAGATCTCGAGGGCGTTCAGAACCAGCCCCTTCGCCAGTCCGTGCTTCGAGCTGGGGGTCTTGCCTCCGACCTTCGGAGAGAGCAGCATACCCTCTGTTATCCGGCCAGGTTCTTGGCCCAGCCGGGTCACCCCCACTTCCTGTGCCCGTACAGAGTTGTCTACGACAGGCTTCGCTTCGGTGAGGCCTTACGGAGGGTCGGACTGGCTCTGGGGATGCTGCTTCGGCGACCGGCCGAAACCCCCCTTGACCTTTCCGGTCGTACTCGTCCGCGACGATCTGGCGATCTTACCCAAAATGTGTACTATTGACAATAATACAATGACAACAATAACACAGTCTTTTCTCTATCTTTGCTACGCCAATATGGGTAAAACCGGTAAATATTGTATTATTGTCAAAAATCAGATAATTAAAGTACATTCTAAAGGGCTTGACTAATTAGATTTAGCACTGTTAGAAATATTGTAAGAAAGTTTAGAAAGACGGGTTCGGTTTTAAACGAATCTCGTCCAGGACGGCCATCAAAATTTAGTGAAAGGGAACAAAGGAGCATACACCGCATTGTTGAGAAAGAGCCCACTTTATCAGCCGCCAGGATAGCAGAAGAGGTTGCATCATCTTCAAAAACCACCTTCTGCTTGCAGACAATAAGAAACGTAATTCACAAATATAATTATTATCAGGGGCCCAAAGGAATAAACCTTTTCTTTATAAGAGGCGAACCGCAAAAATACTTGTTTTTGCCAAAACCTATGTTAATAAGGACCTAGATTTCTGGAAAAATGTTATTTTTTAGATGAAAGTAAATTCAACATTTTCATTTTAAATTTACAATTTAAAATGTAGTGTCGAAAAGCTGGGTGGGGATCAAGGACACAGCAACATCAACAAGAAAATGATCCCAAGCACAAAGCAAACAAAACAATTAAGCAGCCACCAATCTTCAGACATAATTCAAAAGAACATCTATGGTATCTGTTGGACCTAAAAGTAAGAAAAAATAAAATTTCTTTTAAAAAAATGTGTTGAAAGAAACTTTATCTGAGGAATGGCGAAAAATTGGACAAGAAGTGACACAAAATCATGTTTCATCGATGCCAAGGAGGTTACAGGCTGTCATAGATGCTTAGGCATGATTAGAAAATATTAATGGTATCCAGTTCATAAAAATCTTATAAGTAATGAAGAAAGTGTGCCAACAACTTTTTGACTTAGTAAAAGTGAATTGTTTTACTTAGTTGTTGTGTTATGTAAATTTTCAATTTTTCTATTCCAAATATTTTATGAAATAAAAAACATGTAACAAATAAATTTTTGATTTTTTAAAATTGAAACATAAAAAAATTATGCTTGCCAATACTTTTCTGATTCACAATAGGTAACAAAACCTCATCCCAATTATTACGTGAAATTAAAAGTCTAGCAGGTACCAATGTGTCCAGTCACATCATTCGTGGTCTGTGGTTAAAAAAGTTACCTGCCCACTCACAACAAATCTTACAAGTGATGCTACATTAGACATACAAACTAAATGAAACTCAACTTACAAACAATTCCGGACAGATACCCTGTCCCAAATATACAAGACTGCACATCAGAACTCAAGGACTCAAAAATATTTTCAGTTATTGATCTCATAAAGGCGTAAATTTGAGGAAGCATCGGTGGCAGCAATGGTTTAGGTATACTATAATGGTTCGGTCATAATCAACACGTTATAAAACTATCCCAGAAGAATACGCCCACTCTACTCACCTATGATAAAAGTAATTGTTATAAATAGATAAGTAGATGAATAATAGTCATAATCGATAATGAGAAAGGTTAGACAGATCTATTGT